TCGCAGTCAATTTCAGTCTCTGGTTGAATCTCTTGATTTCTCCCTCTCTTCCCGGTACCAACCATATTTATATGGTCGGTACTCCACTATGCAAATTAGGTGGATCCTACTTTTTATAAAAATTATATATTACAATGAATCATTCATACAAAAAGAAAATTAGTAAATTTAAAATTTAGACACCCCCCCATTTCCCTGACTTGACATCTATGAAAGTAACTCTATACTGATACTTATTATTAACACCCAACACCCGCCTACCCAATTTAAACAATTCGCCCTAGCTGTTACCATGGAAATTTTGATTTCAATTATTAAAACACGTAAATTTCAGAAATACGTTAATCCAAAAAAAGTTTCGCTTGAAGATGGAACAGAGCTTACTTTAACTCAATTTAATTCAAATAATTATATTGAAGTTTTCGGCTCTTGTTTTGAAACATGAGACCTCTTAGGTCGCGAGTTGGAATCATATTTTTAAATAAATAATTATAATTATATATATATATATATATATATATATATATATATATATATATATATTATTAAAATTAGTAGTAATCCTATAGGTATAATTAACTACACGTGTTCGAAAACATTCGGTGTATTGATTTGCAAAAAAAAAGCCAATACCAAAATAAAAAAAGGTATAAAAAACAAAGAACCAAGAACATGTACGTTAAATCGAAAAATAATCGTCCAGCATACGAGTTCAAGGCCGAAAGAAAAAAAATAATATGAGTACCCAAAACGGATTCAGTTCGACATTCCAACCACCTTTTAGAATGCCGAAGCGTACAACGGCCGAAACGTTGTAATAAATATATGCAACAAAGATGAGGACAATAGTTAAATTATCATTTAAATTCAATATTATATTACCTCATCTCAGAAAACACACACACACATATATATATATATATATATATATATATATATATATATATATATACTTATTCTTAATAGAAATTTTATAAGTATAAGAAACTATACTCGCTCGGAAAACCTTCAGTATATTGATTTGCAAATAAACAAGCCAACACCAAAGGGGAAAAAAGGTATATAAAAAGAAAGAACCAAGAACATGGACGTTAACTGACAATAATCGTCCAGCATACGAGTACAAAGCCCAAAGAAAAAAACCCGATGCGAGTATCCAAAACAACTAAATAAAGTGCTCAAAAGTGGAGCGCATCTAGTTAAACCTAGAGAGCCAGACAAACCTACCAAGGTTTCACCTAAGCGGATCGTCAGGGATATATATATATATGTCTGTGTCTACCCACTTAAGTACATCATTTGAAAAGTGTAATCTCGTCTCGAAATCTCACCACAAATCATTCCGTTATTACAATTATTTATCAACAATAAACCACATGACTTTTTCATTTTTCTAATTCTGCTTTAAATGCTCAAGGGCTGAAACGCTTCTTTAATAAACTATAAAACCATTAATATCTGTTTTATTAGAAGAATGCTGTATAATTGAATTGTATTTTAAATTCTAACATTCCAATTTGAATCTTTTCGAAAAGCTAAGCGTCTTTCCCAGAAGCAAAACCCAAGATGCATGTAATGCGCGGATTTCTAAAAAAGACGTTTATAATTTGTCTATCTTGCAAAGAATAGATCGGCCCTAAAGCTCTTTTTGATGATTGCCAATTCAATTAGAACACCCACACCAGCAGAGCCGCTTTTTGGGGGATTAAAAAATGTTATTAACATTGTGAATAACAGCATTAAAATCTGAAAACTTTAAATTAGTTTATTAACATAGAATGATGAAATGAAATTTGGCTTCGATTTAATATTGAATTGAAGGCAAACTCGTTTTGATATTGCAATGAAGTCGTCAGTCATTTAGCCTCGTTTTGATATTGCAAAGAAGCCGTCACTCATTTAACCTCGTTCTCATATTGCAATGAAGATGTATCTCATTTAGCCTCATTTTGATATTGCGATGAAGCCGTATCTCATTTAGCATTGTTTTGATATTGCAATGAAGCCGTATCTCATTTAGCCTCGTTTTGATATTGCAATGAAGCCGTATCTCATTTAGCCTCGTTTTGATATTGCAATGAAGCTGTATCTCATTCCGCCTCGTTTTTATATTGCAATTATGGCGTCACTCATTTAGCCTCGTTTTAATATTGCAATTATGGCGTCCCCCACATATACTTCATTATGAGGTTCATATGACTGATTAAATAATTACCAAATATGTCTTATCATTTCTCTTGTCTCGGAATAATATTTTGTCCATTTAAATATCGCCAAACAGTGACGAGGATGAATAGGAATTCTCAAATACAAAGTCCATCCAAAAAATGCATACACACTTCAGGAAAGGAGAAACTTGTATAGATATTATAATACTAAATTTATACAGTATCTGTCTATATTTCTGAGATGAGGTATTATGTACACTATTTACATTATTCGGTCTATTGTCCTCATCTTTTATCGCCATATTTCGTTGTACGCTCTGGCCTTCTTCAGGTGGTTGGAATTGAACTCTTTATTTCGCTCACTGAGGTAGACTGTTCTAGTTCCACTTGCCATGTTTAATAGACACATGGTACCGTGGATAAAGGCGTTGGTTAGATTCAGTGACAAGATCTAAAGAGTGTGAGTTCAATACCCGGTTAAGGCAGTGGAGAACTTTCAGAGGGAAATTAACAGGATATAACTAATAACTGACATCCATTAAACATGGCAAATGGAACTAGAACAGTTTACCCCAGTGAGCGAAATAAAGGGTTCAATTCGACATTCCAACCACCTGAAGAAGACCGGAGCGCACAGCGGCCGAAACGTTGTGATAAATATGGCGACAAAGATGAGGACAATAGTCCGAATAATGTAAATTATGTACATAATACCTCATCTCAGAAATATAGACAGATACTGAAAGGCCGAAACGTTGTAATAAATATGGTGACAAAGATGAGGACAATAGTCCGAATAATGTAAATAGTGTACATAATACCTCATCTCAGAAATATAGACAGATACTGAAGGGTCGAAACGTTGTAATAAATATGGCGACAAAGATGAAGACAATAGTCTGAATAATGTAAATAATGTACATAATAACCCATCTCATAAATATAGACAGATACTGAAGGGCCGAAACGTTGTAATAAATATGGCAACAAAGATGAGGACAATAGTCTGAATAATGTAAATAATGTACATAATACCTCATCTCAGAAATGTAGACAGATACTGAAGGGCCGAAACGTTGTAATAAATTTGTCAACGAAGATGAGGACAATAGCCCGAATAATGTAAATTATGTACATAATACCTCATCTCAGAAATATAGACAGATACTGAAGCACTGAAACGTTGTAATAAATATGGCGACAAAGATGAGGACAACAGTCCGAATAATGTAAATAGTGTACATAATACCTCATCTCAGAGATATAGACAGATACTGAAAGGCCGAAACGTTGTAATAAATATGGCAACAAAGATGAGGGCAATAGCCCGAATAATGTAAATAATGTACATAATACCTCATCTCAGAAATATAGACAAATAGTGGACGGCCGAAACGTTGTAATAAATATGGCGACAAAGATGAGGACAATAGTCCGAATAAGATAAATAATGTAAATTTATACAAATATCACGAGATTAATACAAGTTACCTTTAGATACTACAATCGCGAGAGATGATCAAAATGGTGGCCTTTAGCTATCTAACCATTTATAAGTACGAATACTGCTTTAAAATAACGTTGGCCAAAGTGTTCAGATTGCTGCACAGGCATTTTCAATAAGGGCCGCCAATTTAATGCCATCTGTCGAGAAAATATCATACGACAATAAACAGTACTATCACAATTTGATAAAGCTACGAAAGCCAAGGTTTTCATTTGCCATGTGAATATTTTTGGCGGCCTCTGTATATGAATAGGGATTTTCCAAGCGTAGATTACATGTGGCTACAATAAAATATCCACTACAATAAAATATCCATAGAAATTCCCCTATTACATTGTTAAATATTTGAGCCTAACAACTTTAACAAAATATTGCAATAACAATCATAAATATGAATTCTGGTTGTTATTTTAAGAAGTAAGGGGGTACAAATGAAAAGATTCCACTTCAACTTTTTTCATTTCAGTAAAATAATCATAATAATTTATTTTCTCACTGAAACTTAGTCGTGTATGGCTGATTTTTCTGTGTAATCAAAACGGAATAAGCTATTATTTATGAGGTAATGACAGAAGTTAAACACTTCTACCTTCCTTTCTTTATTTCTTTCTGGACATATCAAGAAAAGATAGATAGATAGATAGATAGATAGATAGATAGATAGATAGATAGATAGATAGATAGATAGATAATAGATAGATAGATAGATAGATAGATAGATAGAGAGAGAGAGAGAGAGATAAACAGACTGAGATAGATAGATAGATAGACAGACTGAGATAGATAGATAGATAGATAGATAAACAGACTGATATATATATATATATATATATATATATAGATAGATAGATAGATAGATAGATAGATAGATAGACGGACTGAGATAGATAGATAGATAGATAGACTGAGATAGAGAGAGAAATAAACAGACTGAGATAGATAGATAGATAGATAGATAGATAGATAGATAGATAGATAGATAGGAAAAATGGATAGATTGACTGGAACAGAGATAGATTAAGATATATATATATATATATATATATATATATATATAGTGAGAGAGAAAGAATGAAAATTAAAATAGGATATGTTATTCTTTTTTGACATCATGGCTCCTGAACCCCCTTTGTGAATATACACGAAGATACAGCTAAATATTGCGTAACGATTACAAGTTTCTAGGATTTTACGTACCGATTCGATTAAAACCGCCTCCGTTTACGCATGACTGAATGTCTCAACCGGCAACCTTTAACACATCCCACTGCTACATTTCCTTCTCTTTCCTACTTTGATGGTAATGATATTTCCTGCCCGAAACTATGCCTGTTCCCATGCATGATTTTTCAATGTCGAGGTGTTGTTCCCGATTCTTATTTCTCGTTTTGGCTCATCCAAGCGTCGAAGCAAACCAGTCAACCATGTTTGCTCAGAAATTTAATGAGGATCTTTTCAAAGACTCCCACGGGACTGGAATTTGGTGCAAAGCACTTTTTTTAAACAGGGAAATCTTTCGCTTATTTATATAAAGAATGTTGCAAATAAATAAATAAATAAAATAAAATACTACCCAGGTACTTCGAGATATAAACACAGGCCCCAAGAAGTACACTTGGCCGGGTTTTTAGGGATAGGGAGGAACTGCTTGAGATAGGGATTCACAGGAATTATTCTTCAATATTTTATTATCAAACTAATCTATGAATGACGGGAAGCAACAAACAAAGACAAGGTTTTAAAGTGAAAAAGAACAATGTCTATCACTAGAAAGCTAATGTGTTCTCCAAAAATCTGGAGAGAAATCCAATTCACCATATCATCTTTTCTGTAAATATTTTGATGGTGGTTGTTCTAATGTGTTCTCCTTCTCGGTTTTCTCAATCGCTTCTAATCGATCAAAAAGCTGTGGAACACTGTTGATACGGTATGTCTCAACATATCTCCAGAGATGTTCGCCGAGCGAGAGAAATCCTACGCGATACGAGGTGCACCCTTCGTCTATTCCCCTCGTTGGCATCTGAAGCCCCTGAATTAGAGCTGTATAGATCTCATCGTTTTACTGTAAAATAACATTTTTTAATCAAATTCACTCCAAGCAAGGCGATAATGCCACTAAGACACAAAAGGCTACTGAGAGGAAAACAGGACGACAAAACTTTAGAAAAAAACCGGAAACCCAATCCTGAACAGGAAACAAGGGATAAACCTTTACTCCTGTTCAAAAAACCGGGAAAGAGTATGAACCGTAAGTTCTATTCTAATAGTTTCTTTACTCACACTTCTCACCCGTGGAACACTCTTCCAATTTCATGCTTCACTGTTACGGAGAATCTCCAAAGGTTTAAATACAATGTCAATCGCCATATTCTGCCTTCCTAAAACCTGTTCATTTATTGTGCTTTTTCTCGCACTTCTCATTCTCTTCCACTTCCAATAACCGCTCTCATCTTAGTGGCATTATTATCTTGCTTGTGGTGAAATGATTAATACACACACGGATATATATATATATATATATATATATATATATATATATATATATTGTGAAATAGTTATTCAAAGAATAAATTAATAAAGTTAATGTAATTAATGGCGAAATCACTTCGCTAACAGATTAAATAAGACATTAACACATTGACCACTCGCTGGAAGACACGATCCTTGTTTTATTAATTGTACAATGGATTAGATCTTCGGTCCATATTGCTTGCAAGTACTTTCGGTAAAAAAATTACCATCCTCAGGCATTTTTCTCCTCAATTTCAGGTAATTTCGGGTAAAATTCCAAGACGACGAATCTATTAGCGAAGTCAGTTAACCATTAATTACATTAACTTTATTGATTTATTCTTTGAATGACTATTTTACAATATTAAGCTGCATTATTTAATAGTTCATATATATATATACATATATATATATATATATATTAATTTCAATAAAGGTGCAATCAATTTACAAATTCATGAATTATTCATACAAAAACAAATACAAAGGTTAATGATTTAATTGGCGAGAAATCCATCGTCGCAAACAATTCAAATAATATACAAAAAACCTGTTATGAATGAAAAGATCCTTGTTTTTATAAATTTCTGTTGCATTAGTTCTTATTTTTTTACAAGCTTTCGTCTGTTCCTACAGACATCTTCATATATGGAATAGATGTTGTTCTTGTTTTTTTTCTCAGTAATAAGAGGACATCGAAAATATATGTATTATTGTATCCGAAAATGCTATTATGAGTTATTGTTTTTGAGCGAAGCAGTGCAACTTTGATTTTAAATTTTACAATTGTTTCATGAAATTATGGTGATAAGCAATTATTTTTTACAAATTTTTCTGTCAAAGTGGCAAATACTTTTGACAATAAAAATTTATTATCCAGTAAAAAGAATTAAGTGCGAAAAAATTTATCACCGTTTTGTTCAAGAATTTACAATTGTAAAAAAAAGAATTTAAATTCAAAAACGGAAGAAATTGTAAAAAAATCAAACTCAGCGTTGCTAAAATAGTACTATAACTCATTCTAATAGCATTTTTTCGGATACAACAATACATATATTTTCGTTGTCCTCTTATTACTGAGAGTAAAAACAAGAACAACATCTATTCCATACCTGAAGATGTCTGTAGGAACAGACGAAAGCATGTAGTAAAAATAAGAACTAATGCAACAGAAATTTATAAAAACAAGGATCTTTTCATTTTCTTGACCACATCTTACGAGGATGTCATTGTAGAAGCTCACTGACTTGGGAGACTTTGCCGAACACATCATATTCCGCTGGTCTCTCGCCCACTGACTACTACCTTTTCAAGTATCTTGACATAAGACATTCCATTACAAAGAAGGTGCAGAAACGACATTCAAAGATGTCTTAGCATCGAAACCTTTAGAGTTTTATCGTAAAGGCATATATAACATCGCAAGCCGATGGCAGAAAAGTATAGATATTTACGGTTCGTGTTTTGAATCATTCAGATAAGGTTTAAATAAATTAATTCAGTAATGAAAGTTGATTATGATATCGGACATAACTTAACCTAATAAGAGTATATTGCCGAAAGTATTGCGACTGAATTTTCTATGAAAAAACATTTACCATAAAAATTGATGTTGAGGGGTTCACCCCTTTTTACACGCATGAACTCACCCAGTATATACATATACTACTGCAATAGCAAGACCGAAGAATCGGGTCGATTCGTGTCCAAGGTGACAGAGTAAAAGGTTGTAGGTAACCGGAAGAGTGAGGGTGAGGTAACAGCGTTGTAGGAGTCACAGTGAGCGAGCACGTAGACTCAGTAAGAAGTCATACAGCGATACTTCAATACCAAAGACTGTATATATATATTTTGCTACTAACCCGTATTCCTGGAACTACTAACCTGCTTTACCAGTTTGTATTATTACGTTAATACATTATTTTCATATATTCATTCCTGGCATTTGTTATTTATTGGTACCGGATTTCAACCGGGAATCCACAACAATTGATAATAAAGATTTTTCACTATAAAAATGTATTGGAAATGATTTTGACTATGAATATACATTTGAATTGACTTTTATTATGAAAATGCATTGGACAATGATTTTTATTATGAAAATACATTGGGAATGATTTTTACTATGAAAATGCATTGGCCAATGATTTTTAATATGAAAATGCGTTGGAATTGATTTTTACTATGAAAATGCGCTGCAAATGATTTTTACTGTGAAAATGCATTGGAAGTTTTTTTATTTTGAAAATGATTGGAAATGATTTTTACTATGAAAATGCATTGGAAAAGATTTTACTATTAAAATGCATTGCAAATGATTTTTACCATTAAAATGCATTGCAAATAATTTTTACTATTAAAATGCATTGGGCAATGATTTTTAAATGCATTGAAAAATTTTTTATTAAAAAATGCATTGGCCAATGATTTTTACTATGAAAATGCATTGGCCAATGATTTTTTTATATGAAATGCATTGGCCAATGATTTTTACTATGAAAATGCATTGGCCAATGATTTTTCTTATGAAAAATGCATTGGACAATGATTTTTATGAAAATGCATTGGCCAATGATTTTTACTATGAAAATGCATTGGCCAATGATTTTACTATGAAAATGCATTGGCCAATGATTTTTACTATGAAAATGCATTGAAAAATTGCATTGAAATGATTTTACTATGAAAAAATTCAATGATTTTACTATTAAATTGGTGGCCAATGATTTTTACTATGAAAATGCGCTTGGCCAATGATTTTACTATGAAAATGCATTGGCCAATGATTTTACTATGAAAATGCATTGGCCAATGATTTTACTATGAAAATGCATTGGCCAATGATTTTACTATGAAATGCATTGAAAATGATTTTACTATGAAATATTTTTACTACTATGAAAATGCATTGGCCAATGATTTTTACTATAAAAATGAAAATGGCATGATTTTTTGATTTTACTAATGATTTTTACTATGAAAATGCGCTGGCCAATGATTTTACTATGAAATTGGCTAATGATTTTTACTATAAAAATGCAAAAAATTTTTACTATGAAAATGCGCTGGCCTTTATGATTTTATTTTTAAAAAATGCATTGAAAATGATTTTTATGAAATGGCCAATGATTTTTACTATGAAAATGCATTGGTGAATGATTTTACAGGGAAAATGCGTTAGAAGTTATTTTTATTATGAAAATGCGTTGGAAATCATTTTTTACGATGAAAAACATTACAAAATATTTTACAGTATGAAATACACTGGAAATTATTTTCGAAGGGTAAATACATTATCAACACTTTTAAAATAAACAAATGACATGCATTGCAAATGGTTTTAATATATGTATCGATTGACCAAGATTACACGATAATCACTGCAATGTGTCTTCCTATAAAACACGTTACAAATGATTTTAGTATATAAAAAATCATTGCAAATGACTTCCCAAAAGATAACAATTGCCAATAATTTTGGCATAAAAATTTTTTGAATGTTTTTTTCTATAAATACCATAGAGATGTTACTACAAAAATGTGCTGTCAATGATTTTTGTTAGTAATTTGATTGCAATACGGTTGAATATGGAACGTTTTTATTCGCTTCGTTTCTTCTCCCTAGATTATTTTTTCATTTTTTTTTTGTCATGTCAACGAACACTCATTGCCGCTTTTGTGATGTCAACGAAATCTCGTTGTCAGTTTCGTGATGCTCGTTGTAGTAAAGACTTTGGAATTGCAGATTAGAACTAAAATAACACCGCATCGAACAATACTGGTGTCAGACGCCTTCAAATAGCAATAATAGTACTTGCTCGACAATATTTGCTCGAATGTAAACACCAAATAGTGACCCGAACAGAGAAATAGTATAGTGAATAGAGTAGAGAATAGCGATCCGTATAGAAATAGAGGATAGAATAGAAATGGAGATCCGAATAGTAATAGAGGATAGAATAGAAATGGAGATCTGAATAGTAATAGAGGATAGAATAGAAATGGAGATCCGAAGATCAATAGAGGATAGAACAGAAATAGCGATCGTTAGTTGTCATGGTATCGCCAATATATGCGTTTCCTCTATGTTCGAGTGATCCACTTCATCAAATAATGGGATCGCCTGTGTTTGCTCACTGGCGATCGATGTTCAAACTCATTTGTCGGCAGCGACACTTTATCCCTAAATAACATTTTCGGAGGATTTAGTTTCTTTCTTCCTACACTCTCCTTTCATATGTTTCTTCTTCTAGATCCTTAGTTTCTTTTTACTTACATTCTCCTTCCATGTGTTTCATTCTAGATCCTTCGTTTTTTCCCTACATTCTCCTTTCATGTGTTTCTTTTTTCTAGATCCTTCGTTTCTTTTTCCCTACATTATCCTTTCATGTGTTTCTTTTTTCTAGATCCTTCGTTTCTTTTTCCCTACATTATCCTTTCATGTGTTTCTTTTTTCTAGATCCTTCGTTTCTTTTTCCTTACATTCTCCTTTCATGTGTTTCTTTTTCAAGATGCTTAGTTTCTTTCTTCTTCCATTCTCCTTTCATGTGTTTCTTTTTCTAGATCCTTAGTTTCTTTTTTTTCCATTCTCCCATTGTTTTTTTCTAGATCATTAGTTTCTTTCTTTTTCCATTCTCTCCTTTCATGTTTTCTTTTTTCTAGATCCTTCGTTTCTTTTTCCCTACATTCTCCTTTCATGTGTTTCTTTTTCAAGATGCTTAGTTTCTTTCTTCTTCCATTCTCCTTTCATGTGTTTCTGTTTCTAGATCCTTAGTTTCTTTCTTCTTCCATTCTCCTTTCATGTGTTTCTTTTTTAGATCCTTAGTTTCTTCTTCTTCCATTCTCCTTTTTCATGTGTTTCTTTTCTAGATCCTTAGTTTCTTTCTTCTTCCATTCTCCTTTCATGTGTTTCTTTTTCAAGATGCTTAGTTTCTTTCTTCTTCCATTCTCCTTTCATGTGTTTCTTTTTCAAGATGCTTAGTTTCTTTCTTCTTCCATTCTCCTTTCATGTGTTTCTTTTTCAAGATGCTTAGTTTCTTTCTTCTTCCATTCTCCTTTCATGTGTTTCTTTTTCAAGATGCTTAGTTTTTTTTCTTCTTCCATTCTCCTTTTCATGTGTTTCTTTTTCAAGATGCTTAGTTTCTTTCTTCTTCCATTCTCCTTTTCATGTGTTTCTTTTTTTCAGATGCTTAGTTTTTTTCTTCTTCCATTCTTCTTTCATGTGTTTTCTTTTTTCAAGATGCTTAGTTTTCTTTTCTTCCATTCTCCTTTCATGTGTTTCTTTTTCAAGATGCTTAGTTTCTTTCTTCTTCCATTCTCCTTTCATGTGTTTCTTTTTCAAGATGCTTAGTTTCTTTCTTCTTCCATTCTCCTTTCATGTGTTTCTTTTTCAAGATGCTTAGTTTCTTTCTTCTTCCATTCTCCTTTCATGTGTTTCTTTTTCAAGATGCTTAGTTTCTTTCTTCTTCCATTCTCCTTTCATGTGTTTCTTTTTCAAGATGCTTAGTTTCTTTCTTCTTCCATTCTCCTTTCATGTGTTTCTTTTTCTAGATCCTTAGTTTCTTTCTTCTACCATTCTCCTTTCATGTGTTTCTTTTTCTAGATCCTTAGTTTCTTTCTTCTTCCATTCTCCTTTCATGTGTTTCTTTTTCAAGATGCTTAGTTTCTTTCTTCTTCCATTCTCCTTTTCATGTGTTTTTCTTTTTCAAGATGCTTAGTTTTTTTCTTCTTCCATTCTCCTTTTATCATGTGTTTCTTTTTCTAGATCCTTAGTTTCTTTCTTCTTCCATTCTCCTTTCATGTGTTTTTCTTTTTCAAGATGCTTAGTTTCTTTTCTTTCTTCCATCTCCTTTCATGTGTTTTTTTCAAGATGCTTAGTTTCTTTCTTCTTCCATTCTCCTTTCATGTGTTTCTTTTTTTCAGATGCTTAGTTTCTTTTATTCTTCCATTCTCCTTTCATGTGTTTCTTTTTCAAGATGCTTAGTTTCTTTCTTCTTCCATTCTCCTTTCATGTGTTTCTTTTTCTAGATCCTTAGTTTCTTTCTTCTTCCATTCTCCTTTCATGTGTTTCTTTTTCAAGATGCTTAGTTTCTTTCTTTATTTCCATTCTCCTTTCATGTGTTTCTTTTTTCTAGATCCTTAGTTTCTTTCTTTCCTTCCATTCTCCTTTCATGTGTTTCTTTTTCTAGATCCTTAGTTTCTTTCTTCTTCCATTCTCCTTTCATGTGTTTCTTTTTCTAGATCCTTAGTTTCTTTCTTCTTCCATTCTCCTTTCATGTGTTTCTTTTTCTAGATGCTTAGTTTCTTTCTTCTTCCATTCTCCTTTCATGTGTTTCTTTTTCTAGATCCTTAGTTTCTTTCTTCTTCCATTCTCCGTTCATGTGTTTGTTTTTCAAGATGCTTAGTTTCTTTCTTCTTCCATTCTCCTTTCATGTGTTTCTTTTTCAAGATGCTTAGTTTCTTTCTTCTTCCATTCTCCTTTCACGTGTTTCTTTTTCTAGAACCTTAGTTTCTTTGATCCTACATTCTCTTTTAATTTGTATCTTTTTTCTAAGCCTTTTGTTTCATTTTCCCTATATTATCCTTTCATTTGTTTCTTTTTTCTAAATCTTTCGTTTCGTTTTCCTACATTATCCTTTCCTCTATTACTTTTCCTATATCTACCGTTTCTGTTTCTTTTCTTCATCTGGATGTCATTTCACCTTTCTTATTTCTTTTTATTGTCTTTTTTTATACCTTTTCTTTCATTGCTTTTTCTCTTCCTTTTTTTCTTTCTTTCCTCTTGCATCCAATTCTCTCTTGCTCCTTTTTCTTTTCTTTTTTCTTCTGTTTTAATTTCTCTCTTTCTTTCGTTTTGTTTTTTTTTTCTTTCTTTTTTCCACCGCCTTTCATTACATCCCTCCTTTCGCTTTTTCTTTCACTTCTTTTAATCATATGCTTAGGTTACTTTTTTTCTGATATATATATATATATATATATATATATATATATATAATAAGCGTGTTTGATTGAAAGAAAGGAAGAAGGAAAGAAAAAGTTAAAAATAGGCTGAGATAGAAAAAGAGGGGCGAGAGAGAGACATAGGATAACAAACATACATAGAGAGATAAATAGACAGACAGATAAATAGACTAACATAGATAGATAGATAATGAACAGACTAAGATAGATAGATAGATAGATAGATAGATAGATAGATAGATAGATAGATAGATGTTAATATATTGAGATACAGATAGATATTCAGATAGAGATGGAAAAATAGATAGATATGGACAAATAAAATAAATAGATTGGTAGCTAGATAGACATCACTACATAGATAGATAGAAAAAGAAAGAAAGAAAGAAATAGAAAAGATGGAAGAATGAAAGAAATAGAAAGGAAGAAGAAATAGAAAAAGAAAAGGAAGGAAGGAAGAAAGAAGAAGCAAATCATAGTAGATTTAAAACAGAAACGATCTTAGAAATAAAAAAGAATGAAAGAAAAGCAACTCAAGAAAGAATGAAAAAATAAGAAAGTTAAAAGAAAGAGAGAATGAGTAAAAAAAAAGAATGGAAAAGAAATAAGTCAAAGAAACAAAATGTGAATATGAAAACAGATATTCAAAGAAATGAAGGAAAAGATGGAAGAAGAAAGAATGAAACAAATGAAGAAAGAAATAAATATATAGAAATAAAAAGAAATGAAGGGACAAATGGTGAAAGAAAGAAAGAAAGAAAGAAAGAAAGAAAGAAAGAAAGAAAGAAAGAAAGAAAAAAGAAAGGGAGAAAGAAAGGGAGAAAGAAAGAAATATATAGAAATAAAAAGAAATGAAAGGACAAATGGTGAAAGAAATAAAAAAAGAAAGAAAGAAAGAAAGAAAGAAAGGGAGAAAGAAAGAAATACATAGAGATAAAAAGAAATGAAGAAACAAATGGTCAAAGAAAGAAATAAAGAAAGAAATAGAAATAAGAAGAAATCAAAGAACAGATGAAGAAGAAAGAAAGAAAGAAAGAAAGAAAGAAAGAAAGAAAGAAAGAAAGAAAGGGAGAAAGAAAGATATATATAGAAATAAAAAGAAATGAAGGGACAAATGGTGAAAGAAAGAAAGAAAGAAAGAAAGAAAGAAAGAAAGAAAGAAAGATATATATAGAAATAAAAAGAAATGAAGGGACAAATGGTGAAAGAAAGAAAGAAAGAAAGAAAGAAAGAAAGAAAGAAAGAAAGAAAGGGAGAAAGAAAGGGAGAAAGAAAGAAATATATAGAAATAAAAAGAAATGAAGGGACAAATGGTGAAAGAAAGAAAAAAAGAAAGAAAGAAAGAAAGAAAGGGAGAAAGAAAGGGAGAAAGAAAGATATATATAGAAATAAAAAGAAATGAAGGGACAAATGGTGAAAGAAAGAAAGAAAGAAAGGAAAAAAGAAAGAAAGAAAGAAAGAATGAAAGGAGAAAAGAAGGCAAGATAAAGCTGAGAAATAAAACAATGAATAAAGTTTAATGAATTCAAAAGGAATGTAAGGTAACGTCAAAGAGAGTTTAAAAGGCCGTTCATTCCTCATTAACATCTCATAATGCAAAATTCATAAATCGTATCACCAATAGTAACAATAGAATAATAATAATAATAATAATAACAACAACAACAACAACAACAACAATAATAATAATAATAATAATAACAGAAAATGAAATTGCGCATAAAGAAACTTGTCAAAAGCCCGTCCGTCCGATTTTACATCTTTCGCGTGAAGAGGATTGAAATTAGCCTCGTTGAAATGTTGAATGACCTGATTTGAAACGCTAAAAACGACGACGTGCTCATTCCGTGTCTTTCTTCTATGGCGTGTTGCTCGCTGGAGAGGCTCAGAATCTCCCTCTTGCAACAAATAATTACACTTGCTACTTGAAGTCAAGTGGAATGCAGAACGGAAAGACATGATTAATTACATATTAACCCCGGGCCCCACAGGTCGTTCAGCCGGCCGCCCGTCCGGCCGCCTGGGCATGCCTCTCTAACGGGTACATTTGCCTGCGCGGTCTGTATGCAGACGATCGGCTGGTATCAAAGCGTGCGCTTGAGAAAGAGAAAATATGCGATATAATATGTGCCAGGAAGTATGCGATCATGTCTCTCCTCAACTTCTTGTCCATTTTATCTAAAAACAACATCTGGTCTCTTACCATCCCTCTTCCAAAATACTGTACAAAGCCGTGGAGCCACTCAAGTTAGAAGTTTACATAATGAAAGAATTGATGGCACCTACCCTGAATCTGTCACATTCAGGATGTGGATTTAGTAAATCTCTCTCTCTCTCTCTCTCTCTCTCTCTCTATATATATATATATATATATATATATATATATATATATATATTGGTTGACCATAACATTAAATATACAAATAATATGTTAAGTCATGGATTATAATTTTACTATTGCGTAAAGGTGATTGACGTAAGTGCTTATTCAGGGAAATTCGCGAGTAGGTTCCGACTTACACGGGAAATTGCGTTACAATGCATCGTAAGAGCGGAACTCTGACGTAAGTCGAGAAAATCCTTGTATAATGATACTTTCACCCAAATGATTTCTTCTGTACTTTATGTCACATATTCTATATTGATAAATAACTAAAAGTCTACACAGATAGAAAATGAACTTCATTTCCCATATATATATATATATATATATATATATATATATATATATATATATATATTGCTCTAGCTGTTCCCATAGTAATTTTAATTTCAATAATGAATATGCTTATAAAAACACTTAAATTAGTTATTCCAAAAATTTCGCTTGAAGATAAAACAGAGCTTGGTACTTTAATTCAAATAATTATATTGAAGTTTTCGACACTTGTTTCGAAACATGAGAACTCTTATGTAACGATGGAATCTTATTTTTAAATAAATAATTATATATATATATATATATATATATATATATATATATATATATATATAATAATAAGCATTTCACCCCAAGCAAGGAAGGAAGCCACTAGCACGGAAGGGGTTTCAGAGGATTTGGAGCGAGAGCAGATAGGAGTGATAGAGGAAAGGATGAGGAGAAGGTTAGGGGATAGATCCAGGCAACTGGAGATGTCTATTGATATTACATTTGAATAGATGGAGATTATAGCTATCAGGGAAACAGCAAAAGGGAAGGGAGTTCCACAGGCGAGAGGTGCGAGATATGAAGCTATTGGAGTAGAAGAGACGGCTATATTTAACAGTTTCAACAGTGAAAGGGTGAGAGCGGGATGCCAGCCTCGTAGGGCGCTTGAATTCATGAAGTCTGGGAACCAGCGAATGCAGCTCCTCGGAGCAATTACCATGAAAGTATTTGTAAAAAAGACAAAGAGAGGCGATGGGACCTCTTTGAGAGAGCAACTGCATATGAGATGCCAGATCAGGGCCAACTACATTGCATATCCGTCTCTGGATAAAGAACCCCGAGAAAAGCAGAAGGGCTCCATATATATATATATATATATATATATATATATATATATATATATATATATATATATATGTGTGTGTGTGTGTGTGTGTGTGTGTGTGTGTAAAATATATAGAAAATAGGAAAGAACTCGTTAGGTAAATAATCCAATGTTCTTTAGTATTTTTGTTATTATTTAAAAAAAACAGTGCTCGATACAAAAGTAGAGTTTAAATATAATTATTTATTTAAAAATATGATTCCATCGCTACATAAGAGTTCTGATGTTTCAAAACCTGTTTTGAAACAGGAGAACTTTTATGTAGCGATGGAATCATATTTTAAATAAATAATTATATATATATATGTGTGTGTGTATATATATATATATATATATATATATATATATATATATATATATATATATAGCGAGGTTCCTCATTTACAAGGCCTGAGGGGGCATTGAGGTGGAAAGTTAAGTTTGGGGGCCATTTGTGTGGAAGTGGAAGTTAACTCTGGCTTCGAACAGGTTGTAGCGGTCGAAGAAATATCCAGTAGAGAATCGGTTCCACAGGGCAGTGGTTTGCGGGAAGAAGCTGCTTGAGTAGGACTGACTTCTCACCAATGGAATACGGAGCGAATGTGGGTGCTTTGTTACTATGTAAGTGGCATGGCGTGTTTTTGCTGTGAAGGTTTACCTCAGCGGGACAAGGGAATATAATTCGCCCGAGCACTTTCTATGGAAGTAGCTGTAGAGTGGCGAAGGACTTGGCCATATCCTGCCTGTGGGAGAGGAGTTGAAGGGTGGAGAATAGTTTGTTACCCACAAGGGCTTGGAGACGGCATTTGAACTCTATCAAGGCTGGAGAATGAGGTCTGGGCAGCTTCAGCCTAAATATGGCAATAGTATTAAATTTTGGGGGCTTGATCTAGCTCTACCACTACTTCTACGGAAAGTGCTCGGACGGACTAATCCCTTAGTACAGCCAAGGCAGACGTTCACAGCAAGAATGCGCCATGCCACTTACATAGAAGCAAATCAGCCACATTCCTCCGTATTCCATAGGTGAGGGGTAAGTTCTACTCGAACAGCTTCTTTCTGCGATTAATACAATCTTGACCTGTTTAAGGCTAGAGTTAACTGTTATCTTCCACTCCAATATACACAAATGACTTCCAAATGTAACCCTCTACCTCGAGTGGTCGTCGGGCCTTGTACAGCGTGAACCTTTCTGTAAGACAAAATAACAAAAAAAAGGAGATTTAGATAAACAAACGAGTTGAACATGTCCCTTCAGTTCGGAGTCGTTGAACATGTCCCTTCAGTTCGGAGTCGTTGAACATGTCCCTTCAGTTCGGAGTCGTTGAACATGTCCCTTCAGTTCGGAGTCGTTGAACATGTCTCTTCAGTTCGGAGTCGTTGAACATGTCCCTTCAGTTCGGAGTCGTTGAACATGTCCCTTCAGTTCGGAGTCGTTGAACATGTCCCTTCAGTTCGGAGTCGTTCAACATGTCCCTTCAGTTCGGAGTCGTTGAACATGTCCCTTCAGTTCGAGTCGTTGAACATGTCCCTTCAGTTCGGAGTCGTTGAACATGTCTCTTCAGTTCGGAGTCGTTGAACATGTCCCTTCAGTTCGAGTCGTTGAACATGTCCCTTCAGTTCGGAGTCGTTGAACATGTCCTTTCAGTTCGGAGTCGTTGAACATGTCTCTTCAGTTCGAGTCGTTGAACATGTCCCTTCAGTTCGAGGAGTCGTTGAACATGTCCCTTCATTTCGGAGTCGTTGAACATGTCCCTTCAGTTCGGAGTCGTTGAACATGTCCCTTCAGTTCGGAGTCGTTGAACATGTCTCTTCAGTTCGGAGTCGTTGAACATGTCCCTTCAGTTCGGAGTCGTTGAACATGTCCCTTCAGTTCGGAGTCGTTGAACATGTCCCTTCAGTTCGGAGTCGTTGAACATGTCCCTTCAGTTCGGAGTCGTTGAACATGTCCCTTCAGTTCGAGTCGTTGAACATGTCCCTTCAGTTCGGAGTCGTTGAACATGTCTCTTCAGTTCGGAGTCGTTGCCACGGCGCAGTGTTTCACAGGAAAAGGCTTCTCAAATGAAACCTACTTGTCACCACTGGAATACGGACGGAATGTGGGTGGCATGGCGTCTTTTTGCTGCAAAGTCTTGCCTCGGCGGGACCAGGGAATATAGTTCGTCCGAGCACCTTCTGTGGAAGTAGCGTTAGAACAGAGAGGGGCTTGCCGTATCACGTTTGTGGGAGAGAGGTTGAAGGGTGGAGAATAATTCGTCCCCCACATAGCTCGGAGACGCTTTTGAACACTTGTCAAGGCAGCAACCACCCTAATATGACAACAGTATTCCATTTTTAACCTGATCTGGTTCTTGTAAAGGTAGAGTATAGCACTGTGGTTTCCAACCCTTTTGAGACCATGACCCACTTTGATATTTCTAAAATTCTGGTACCCTCACCCTGCAATATTTAATTCTTACATAATCAAAATTTTACTGCAATTCAATTGAAAGAAGCTTAAAAATCCATTAACTTGTTCTCTAAACAAGCCTCCAAAGAACATGGCGTCCATTAAAAAATTAAAAAAAACAAAAAGACAGTTAAATATAGTTTCAAAACATAATAACTGAACATGCCTTTCAAAAACCTGTTCACACATATCCCTAAATAACCAAAACCAAAATTCTTTAAGTATGAATTTGGCATTTGTCAAGACCATATTCTGGTGTCAGCCATTTCCCCGACATCTTTAGTAAATAATTGTATGTACAAATTCCACTTGAGTTCTGGGTTGAGATCAAGTTCCAATAAGTGTTCAAAGTATAGAGCAGTGAATCCCGATCGATTTTAAACCATGACCCACTTTGGTATTTCTTAAATTCTGGTTCCCCCTTCAATATTTAATTCTTACATATTCAAGATTATAATGCAATTTATGTGAATGAAGCTTAAAGGGCCATTAACTTAGTCTCTAAACAACGCTACAAAGACCATGGCGTCTATGAAAGAGAAAATTTGAAAGAAAAAAAAAGTTAGATATCTAGTGATTTTCCAACTGTAGCATAAGACCGAAGGTAGGACGGCACTCGATGAGGTAATTATTCTAGTGTGACACGCTCGTTAACCATTACACCGCCTCGAGGTGCCAAAAGACAGCTAAATATATGTAGTTTCAAAACGTATAATAGAGAACTTGAAGGCAGAAATATAGTGATTTTCCAAGCGTAGCGTAGATGTAGTTCGGGGTCCGATCGGCGGTGATAAAATGTAACTAGCTTGGTCTTTGTGACATTGAATGCAACCAGTCAGTATTTAACCCACTGGATAGTTTGTGCAAGATCGGAAGAGAATTCAGCTGCCAATCTCAGACCATCGAGAGTTCCAGAGGTGCTCCCGTAAATAGTCGTATCATCGTCATAGATGTTTACAAATGATCTGAGTATATTCTGAAGCAGATCTTTTATGAAG